AGCATTTTTTACACTTCTATATACAACGTAAGTTTAGAATATGAGCTGTAATATCACTTAAAAATTAATAATGAACCGTTTTCCTTAAACTAATTAAGAGTTATTGCAGTTTGTCTCACTAACGCTATTATGGGGGAAAAAACATTTACTCACAAAATTTTATCTCCAGAAATATCCTACAAATATGAGAGAATATCTTTTTCTAAGTAATTGAAATAAATAAGTTCAGGCATAGCGATAATTTTGTTTTCCTCTCAGTGAGATTCTTTTTTCTCTCAATGCAATAAGTAAACTTCAATACATCTCTGTATTTCTATGATTGGTTTTGAAACAGCGGTTACTCAAGACCTGTCTTTCAAAGAGAATCGTCAGCAATTTTTCTAATAGAAAATGATTTTGCTTCTTCAACTTATTTTTTGTTGAGGTTCCAGCTTTTATTTACTTTTAACAATGCCATTTTAGTTCATAACGATCGCAGAAAAAATAGATAGCTTGTTTTCTAATATTTTCAATATTTAATACACGAGTGAGCGAGCGAGCGGGCATTTCTCTCAACTTCTTTCGGATTCTAGAAACTTTCATGGAGCTGTAAAAAATAAAATAACCATTTCCTATAAACTTTAAAATGAATAAATAAATCCCAATTCAGTGTATCTTCTATATTATACTTAAAGGAAAATAAATAATAATTTTTGTTTGTTTTTGAATGAAATAAAATCACTTAATTTAGCCGTAAAATTGATTTATATAACCAACTAAGCGATCAATTTCTATACCCAAAATGTACCAAAAAAGACACATTTTTTTATTCCATATAACTAAGCATAATACTTAGCAGAATGCGAAAATGGAAGAATTTTACTTTGATTTTCACACTATTTTTCATAATATAATTCTGAAACACACACAAAAAAAAAAAAACCCTAAATGTTTGCTTTTTATAAGTAAACTCTGCATGCTGTGAAGGATGGTTCATATACCTTAAAAGAATTTTTCTCATGCTTACAAAAAAATTCCGTGTTCGTACCTTTTTTCAAATAGTTCAGGATTTGAGTATGTGCAACTCTGTAGGCAAATACAGTTTGAAGCATGGTCTTGAAGTCTTATATTGTAATGGGAACAGAGAAAATATCAGCTTTTTGGGATTCTCTTTCCATTTTCATTTCTTCTCAAGCAACAAACTGCACATTACTTTGCCAGTCACTGTTTTTTTATCGAATATCTAAATTCCTGCCTTCAATGAAAAATTCCCGCCTTGACCACAAAGAAAATCCCAGATGAGAAGCATTTCACAGTACCATGGGATACATCTATTAAAAACACTAGAATTAATAATCTTATGGTAAGATCTATATATATATATATATAAAAACATGTGCAAATCAAAGACAAAAAGAAGAAAATATCATTGCCCGTACCGCGTACGGGCAAACCGGTTGTGGCCAGCTTTCAGTAGAACGTACGGTGTTAGGGCGAACCATTTAAGGGGTTAACGATAAATAATACTGAATTTTTTTTTTTTTCAAGAGTTCGAATAATTTATATTATCTTCAAATTTTGATACGAAAAATTCCTTAAGTTAACGAGTTAAGGAATTAAAAAAAACCATCTATTTTAAATAACTCAATTTAAACGTCGAATTGTTAGGATCCATAAAGACTATTTTTAACTGCACTAAATGATGAAAAAATGCAAAATTGAATTAGATTTCTTCTATTATTTTCTCTATAAAATATTTTCCCTTATAAAATTTACTGAAAATATTAATAATGAGAGAAAGAAGACTTAGAAGCAACAAAACAACTAAAAACACACTTGTCTTCTATTAACTTGCTCTAAAACAGAAAATTTTAATTTTTTAATACACGAATCGGAGGTATCTCAAACATTTATACTATAAGCAAAAATATATTAAAATTTAAATTTCAAAAACGTTTCACATAAAAATATAAACTCGATAAAATAATTTCTCATTTCCATATGTTTGAATCAAAAATTTCGAAAAATAAATTACAATTGAAATCGTCAGCACTTTAATGTCTGATTTACAGTAAAAAAAATATAGTTCATACTTTTTCTTCTGCTGTAGACGAGAGAATGTGTACTTTTAAGTATCTGCTAGCAAACAAAGAATTATTTTAATTTCATTCATACAAATTCTTAAGTATGGATATTCTTCCAAAAGAGCAAACAAGATTTAACTGGATACTTATACACTCAACTCTTTTTTTTTATATATATATTTAATTTTAAAATATAACACGGTACGCGAATTTAACATATTTTTTTTACACGAATTTTTTGTTCAACCACGAACTCCAAAAAAATTCGAGGATTTGTGTCCTTTGGATGAAGGCGATTTGATCGAATTTATGACAGTTTACGATAATAAAGAAGTCGAGATAATGATGAAATCGAAGGCGTAGTTAAGATATTAACAGTTGATTTAATTCGCGAGGATTTGAAATTTGATACAAGTGTGGAACAACATTTTCTTACTTGTGGCCCTGTCATAGAGCGTGCATTAGAATTTAAACGTAATCATAAGTTCTGTATAGCAGGTAATCAAGAATTATAGAACCAACTTTTCACCCCCCCCCCCCCAAAAAAAAAATACAGCCGTTAATTACAGACTTTGCAGCAACACAAAAAAACCAACTGAGGCTGTTAAAACCGAACGAAATTCACACCTACTGATGATAGCATTTTTAATTCAGTTCTTAATAAACGTGCACGCCTTTTTTTCAAGTACCAATGAATTGTTGCTAGTTAGGATTTTTATTCCTAATTTCAATTTGAATCACAGACTGAACACTAATTTAATTTTTTTTGTAATAAAAATGAATTGATTTTGTTTCAGAAATATGTAACATGCAGTTTATTATTGCTTTTTCGCACGGTTTTTTAGGAAAATATATTTAGTGATTTTTCATCTTACACGATTTTTTAAAGTTGTGTGGAGCATATCCCCAAATTTACCATATGTCACATGTATTTTTTTTTTTCACGATTTTCTAAGGGATATTTTCGTGTAAAAAAAGTTGGGTGTGTATCATTACTTGAGTGATACTTAGATTAAGAGAGGAATGCAGCCGGAAGATTATGAATTGGTTAATCTATTTTATGAAAAATTGTAAGGTAAAATAATAACAGAACTATTGCACACACGTTAAATCTACGCATTCCTTAAAATTTTTACCTGCGAAATTTAGAGAGTGAATTTCTATTGTCCTATTTTATCATTATTCCAAGACAAAGAGTCTGCTGTGCAGTTTTTTTTATAATTTTAATTTAAAAAGTAAAATTCTAATTTTCATTGATGAAATTACGAATAGTCAGATGGTCTAAGAATATACATTATTATGCACAAATGCAATTCCGTAAACACCCATTGTTATTCAAAAACGATTCATCATACAATTTTTTTAGAAACAGAGATTTAAACCCATCTATTTCAATCTGATGACTGATTGTTTATTAACTTCGTGAATCGAAACAGAGAAATAATTCCTCCACACGGCTAAGAGCCACAATCTCGCCTTTTCAGGAAAATACCCCCCCGCACTCAGCCTTCATGGAGGAAAAATATTATTTTTTTTCTTTTTGCAGGAGAGGAGAGGAGAGAGAGAGAGAGCCAGTAAAAAAGTTAACACACACATAAAACTTGTTTTGCAATAATCATGTACAGTTCATTCTCTCATACAGATGTTTAAACAGAACTAGTATAACATAAATTACATAGTTTCTCCGTATTGCATTACCTGTAGTATATGCAAATCAAGCACAAAGATTTTTTGAACGAGTTAGAGAGAGCTATTGGCGAAGAATCACGTAATTTTGGACCGTGGTCAAGTGATGACGACACCTGAGCTGGTAACCCTTCTAAAATCCACACCAAGCCAACGTTAAGACTTTGTAAGCCAAGGCGGATTTAACTTTCAGTGTCATCAGAGCTCGAACGCGCTACTTAACAACGCTGGCCACGCGAGTTCATGACCATGACTCTAGACTACCGCGACCATGTGTGTGTGCATACTCATATATGTGTACTCTCTTGATTGATCATTGTATTGAGAATGTGTTTGTTCCTTTTCTCTAGTATATATGTTTTGATGTAAACTCTATGTATTATTTTATAAACATGTTAAGATTTTTTTTTAAATCTGCATGTGAAACATTATTATTCTGCAAATAAATGTTATTTTAAACCCTCTTTTCTGTAATAGACACAATTATGTATGTGGGTGGTACCTGCTAGATGGGATGATTACATTCCTATAAAAAGCGACTTTTTAGAACTCAAAACAAAAAAAATCATACATTTAAGGGTTAATTCCCTGTGTTTTGATTTTCCTTTATTCAGAATTTTGAAATTGAACAGAAATCTATGTAAAAAAAATACAGATCTAAGTCCAAATCCCCAACATTTAAAATTGCTCGCTGATTGTTGTTTTAACATAAGGAAATTTTCCTCAAAGTGAATGCAAATTTTTAGTTGAGATTTTCACATATGAAGATGAGATAAATCCTCGATGGTAGAAAAATTAGAGAACACACTATTTTTCTCTTATATTTACCTAAACACTTGCCTGTCAAGACCTTCGAGGAAATACAGAGTCGATTGTTATTTTTTATGAATTTCAATTAAAGTCACACTTAAAATATCCTTTTTTTAAAACTAACAATATACGACCATACAATAGTTCGTAGAGATAAAACTTATAACACCGAACCATTAATGGCTGAAAAAGATTACTGCGATATCAAATACGCTTTCAAAATCTATTTTACACACAGCCTATAAAACTCACAACATTGTTAAATATGCCAATATTTGAAATGCAGATCTGCATTGATCTTACATTTTAAGTTCAATCTGTTCTACATTAAAGACATCATTATTTTTCCTCAAGTACTTTCATTTTCCTCTCTATTGAATTTATCAGAAAATTCGAAAGAAAACCTGTGACTTCAAATTCTTTAAGCGCTATAAACATCAAAGCACGAAAACCAGTCTCCTGCCTCGGAATTTCAAGGGCCAGTAAAGGCGCACTAGGCATCGAACATCTGTGAGGCTCTAACGAGGTTGATGTCTCGGAACAAAATGATTCCAGTGACATGACCTCTAACAAAGAAAAGGCAATTTTTTTCTCACTCACTCCACCGACGTCTCCGAATTCGGTTGCTTTACCACATTCGAAGCATAGACCTTAAAGTCCTTGTAGAGGAATACTGGTCTTATTCCCTTTCAGTTCACTGCGAGACGCGCGAGCATCATTAATCAAACTTTACAAAGTATCGTTTCTTAAAGGATTTCTTCTACTAGATCTCGGAAAGCGATGTCAATTAAAAAAATTCATATCTAGCTTCAGTCCTGAAGATTTTCAATCAATTATTCGTTTGCACCAACATGTGCAAAGGTAGAGACTCCATGTGGGTTCCCGCCGAACACATTCAACATTCTTCGCCGCGACACTCCAACACACTGCGCTTAAGTCTGGAGAAACATCTGTGATACGGTTATGGGCTCGAAGTAGGAGCATCATTCATTCAATTTCAGAGCTAGAGGCTTCGGCAAGTAAGTTGTTACACACTCCTCGGTAGATTTCGACGTCCACACGGCCAGTAACTGTCATGCTACTTAGACCAATCAAAACCTTTCAAGAGGTTTCACATCGGGTGCCGTAACCCAGTACTTGTTTCATCTCACAGTGCCAGTTCTGCTTACCAAAAGCGACCCATTGAACACTGTCACGCAAGCATCCGGCCTTCGATCGAAGTAGGACTTTTCGCCCTTTTAGTTTCAGACAATTTCCCGACAGTTTCATCATTTCAGCCCCAAAGCATCTAATCATTCGCTTTATCGGATGAAACTGTCTTCGAGTCTTAGCTATTCTAAACGAAACCAGAGGGAATCATCAATTAGATTATCTTTGACCCATATACCGGCATCTGATGTGGCCGCGGTAGCCGAGTGGCATAGGTATTGGATCGTGGCTTGCCTTGTCACGAGTTCGAGCCCAGTACCACTAAAGACCCGCCGTGTAGGGCAGCGATGCACGTTAAATCTGTCGAGAGCTGAAACGTCCTCCCGTTGGTGTGGTGTGGTAGTTAGGAGAGGGGGTGCCAGCTCAGGTGTCGTCCACGTCACTTGACCATGGTTCAAAATTACGTGGTCCGTCGCCGAAAACCCTCGTGTAGCTGAACAGTGCGACGTTAATATTCAATCAATCAACCAGCATCTGATTATCGATTTTCACGTCAGAACCTTTGCGAACACAATCATCTGAATTTTCTCAGATAACGTCCTACCTAGGCAAAGTTCACCGTGATGCAAGGTCAAACGTACGTGCTCGGACTACATCCGACCGAAACATCGGTGTATTGCAGGGGAGGAAACTCCCAACTTGGACAGGAATCTCCGTGGCTTTGCTTTTTCTTCACCTATGAGCTTTTCCGAAAAGTATTGCTATAAATATTAAAGCGCGAAAATCACCTTTTCCCTTGAGTTTATAAAAGCTGGCACGGAGGCGTACCAGATACCGTAAGAACCACGGTGCCATCATGAGGCTAACGTTTTAAATCTGTACGAACCGATTTCAGGGATTAAGTCCAAGTCTTCCGAGTTCGGCATAGACTACTTGATTCATGTTACAAGACGAGTGGATGACCAATCTAAGCGCCGCGAGCCACCGTCCCTTACGGCGGAACTTCACTTGGCCAGCGAAGCCCTCCGTTCCAAGGGCTCGTCCCGTGCGGAGACACCTGAAGAGGCACTAGACGAATGCCACCATGGACGGGTGGCGAGCATGGACGAGAAGGCCAAAGACTAGCGGACACCAGACGTCTATCACCTTCACGATTGCTAAGTCCCGACCGGTTGCAGCGTCTTTCAGACGGTAAAGAAATGCGCCGGTGGACCCGAAAATGACTCGCTCGGTGTGGAATCCGCACGAGAGAATAGGTGTTCTGCTAGTATAGCCCGACTAAGTGGCCATCCAACTGAATCTTCCCGCCTGTGGACATCGAAAGTTGACAAGTTGCGCGGCTTTAAATGGGTAGTATCCTTAACAACGCAAAATATTAAATACTGTTGATTTGATAGTTTAGAATTATATTAATTCAGTTATTCAATCATGAATAAAAAAAATTTCATGTTTATATTTTAAACTAGGGCCTGAAATTTTATGTTGCCAAACATGCATGTCTTTCGACTATTAAGCCTCGCACAGATTGTTAATTAACATCGCACCTAGAAGCAATACAAGGGCTATTGGCTATAAACCTCAGTCCCTTTATACAGCAGGTCTTTTTTAGTACCATCACTACTCCAACAGATATATAATGACGATCACGATTTCGCTACTAAGATCAACTTAATATTACTGAGCCTAAAAGTAGACTATCTGGTTTACAAAAGTGTGTATGTACCAAAAATAAGATGCTAGATAAATTATTCAATCTTAGGAATGAGGAAACGTTTACTGGAACAATTATAAATTCGTTGCTTTCAATTCTGCAAAAAATAAATACAAGTAGGGAATCAAACCATCTTAATTTTTTTTTTTTTTTTGAAAGTTGTGCACTTTAATCCTTTTAGGCAAGCAACTAGTACTTTTTCAGTTACCTTGTGTTGCATCATGAGTCTGTAAAGCAAGAGAATCCTCAAGTTTTCTACAAGCATATGCATTTGAAAGTTATTATTATTATTATTGAACTCAACCGTATACTTAATTTTTTTTTTTAAGTTTTAAATATAGCCATTTTTTATATGTTTCAATAAGCGTGAAAATAATTTTTAACCATCTAATCTAAAACTGATAAATTTTAACAATTTCTCAGCAACAGCTTTAACTAAATGGTTATATATATATATAAAAAAATTCTCCGTTGTTATTTCCTGTAGAATTTTTTAAAATTCAATTTGGTTCAGAAATATCCAAGACACTGCATGATACAAGTCTTTTTTTACCCTAGAAAATTCAATTTTAGCTGCAACTTTAGTTCTTAAAAGTGTCATGCCATCAAATTTTTGTGGCAAGTTGACACAATATTGCATCAGTTACCGGATCCAACCAATTAGTGTGCTAAAATAAAAATCGCAAACACATTATCGAAATTTGTTAAAAATACTAAGCTAACGGATTTGTATTGAGAAAGAATGACTTTTGTCCATCTCATGAGATTAGCTCGAGAGTTTTCTTGAGTATACATACATTCTCAAGAGAATTAAATGTGTCAGTTGTAATCACATCCAAGATATATATAAACCCACGATTTTATATATAATCAGTACACCAACAGAAATATTTGTTGGTGCCTGGTAATTGCCTATTTTAATTTAAAACTGCCTTTTTTTTAATCATCACAAGTAATATTCTACTCTTCAGACTTCCATAACACATTAGAGTGCCCAAACTCAATAAGATACCCCTTTAATAATATCGTGGATTTTTTTTATAGAATCATGATTCCAACGTATGATCACTCCAGCTACTAAATAGTAGTCTTGGCACTTTTATAAAAGCGTAGAACTAATAATCAGTAAGAACTGCTTTTAAACTTGCCCAATTTATACATGTAATTTTCCCATTAAACTTGGGAGGGAAAAATCTATGGATGAGTATAGGTTAATAACTAATTTGTTTACTTTAACTTATTACATAACAAGTAACAAAAAAAATATATTTTTAAGTCATTTCCTACTTAGGTCAACAAAGAAAAATTTTATTTTACTTACCTTTTATTAAATAGTTACGATTCATATAAATACAAATGACAGAATCTCAATATTAAGTGACGAAATGGAAAGCAATTTTCCATTCTATATATGGTGTTGGACTATTTTTTTTTTGTTTATTACTTTTTTTTCATTAAATAAATTTAATTTTTCGAAAAAAAAATCACATTCTCGGAAATTAGGCCATCTCAGGTGAGATTCGAACCAATGACCTTTGGATTAGAAGTCCAACGTGCTATCCATTGTGCAACAGGAACACAAAGAATG